CTTAAAGCGGTAGTAAACTGCATTAAAAAAAAGGTTAAAAAATCTCCTGCAAGGGAAAGGCATAATGTGCTAATATGCATTACATACTAACACAATATGAAGGACTAGCCTTGAAATGAAGCCCTCCAGCACAGCACTGTCATGGCTCCTTGGGGCTTCCATCTTCACCTGGTCTTCTTTCCGGGTTTGTGAGCTCTGGCTGGCTGACTGGCCCAACCACGAAGATGCGGGAGTCCCTGGCCACAGCATAGTGCTCTGAAGGAACTGCAGGGGTATGTTCATGTTTAGGAGATATTATTTTACCTACAGGTAAGCTTATAGTAAAATTATTAAAGAATAGTTTACTACCACTTTAATCCTTCGTGGCATAGATTCATCAAGGTGTTGGAAACGTTCGTCAGAGATTTTGGTCCATATTGACATGAGTTACTATTGCCTTTCTATCATCTCCAACCAGTCTGACCTCTGACATCAACAAGGTATTTTCCTCCACAAAACTGCCACTCACTGGATAGTTTCTCTTTTTCAGACCATTCCCTGTAAACCCTAGAGATGGTTGTGTGTGAAAATCCCAGTAGATCAGCAGTTTTTGAAATACTCAAACCAGCCTGTCTGGCACCAACAACCATGTCACATTCAAAGTCACTTAAATCCCCTTTCATCCCCATTCTTATGCTTGGTATGAACTTCAGCACCACATCTAGATGCCTAAATGCATCTAGAGCAGTGAAGACGTATTCTCTGGAGTAACTAATCACGCTTCTGAGTCTGGCAATCCGATGGATGTGTCTGGGTTTGGCGGTTGCCAGGAGAACGGTACTTGCCTGACTGCATTGTGCCAAGTGTAAAGTTTGGTGGAGGGGGGAAAAGACATTTTGGACAATTTCATGCTCCCAACTTTGTGGGAAGAGTTTGGGGATGGCCCCTTCCTGATCCAACATGACTGTGCACCAGTGCACAAAGCAAGGTCCATAAAGACATGGAGGAGCCAGTTTTGGGTTGAGGAAATTGACTGGCCTGCATAGAGTCCTGACCTCAACCTGATAGAACACCTTTGGGATGAATTAGAGTGGAGACTACGAGCCAGGCCTCCTCATCTGACATCAGTGCCTGACACAAATGCGTTTCTGGAAGAATGGTCAAACCTTCCCATAGACACCCTCCTGAACCTTCCCAGAAGAGTTGAAGCTGTTATAGCTGCAAAGGGCGGGGCCATCTCAATATTGAACTCTACGGACTAAGACTGGGAGGCCATTAAGTTCATGTGCGTGTAAAGGCAGAGAAGGCCCAATACTTTTGGCAATATAGTGCATGTGTTCTCATAGGTTTTCTATAACAAGAGAATAGATTGGATTCCTAAAGATACAGTGATACTTATGGTGTTCTAAGAAGCAGTTAAGGCATGCGAAAATGACATATGATTTAACTGATTGAAAGGTCACTTTTAGTATGCCTTAAAGTGTTACTAAACCCCAGACCCTGCATTCACTATATCTGGTCTCCCCGGACCCTGCATTCACTATATCTGATCTCCCCGGACCCTGCATTCACTATATCTGATCTCCCCGGACCCTGCATTCACTATATCTGATCTCCCCGGACCCTGCATTCACTATATCTGGTCTTCCACAGTACACAGAACATGGTTGTGCAATTATTTATAAACTGCTAAATACCGTTTCTCATCAGCAGTATATTGCAGTCTTGTGACTTCTAGCAGTATCCGACCGAGCACTGGGTAATCTTCTAGGAGGAGTTTTCATTCTCCTCTGACTGTCCTATGAGGCTGCATGACCCCTGAACCTCTGCCTGGTCAGTGCTGATTGGCCCTGTGCTGATCACATGCACCCTCCCAAAGAAAAAGAAACTCTAGCAACACACACCAAAACTGAGCATGTGCAGAGTGCCTACTAAAGCTCTGTACTATCAACAGAAGGATTGGAGGTACTATCTTTTCTGTGTTCTTCATGCATGTTGTGGCTGAAGCTTTAGGGTTCAAGAGTTAAAGCGGAACTTCATTCTCTCAATCAACATGAACTATTTTTAATCCTTATGCTGCTATCATCAGTAAGTGGTTATGAAAGTATATCATATTTACTTGTTTTAACCTTTTTTTTACATTTCTTCAGTTACTTCCTGGCTTCCATGCCTAGGCAAATGAGTCATACATCCCAGGAGTCTTCATGGGGGAGGAAAGGTTCTCAGTTCAGCCAATGACTGAGCAAAGGGCAGATCTGTTCCAAGAAGTACAGTATATGCTACATGAATCATCTGCCCTTACTCAAGATGGCCACTGCCAGAAATGCTAGGGTGAGTTTTTCAAAATTATTTCTCAGCGAAATAAGCATGGAGAGCTGGATGGATGGGGGAGTTTGCTATGAATAATAACAATGAATTAAATAGCATTTTTGGTTTGTGTTTCTCAGATGCAGTGCAGTTCCACTTTAAGTATAGGTATATACAATGGGACTTCCCAGGTGGCAGCTGTGAGTACTCAGAGAAGAGCCTTTACTAATGTCTGTGTCCCCACTGGGGACCAACCAGAATGTGAATGGAAATCTCCTCTCTGGGGACACCAAAACCTTACAGCAGTCCTAATCCTTCTCCATACTACAAAAAAAGTGTTTGTATTGCCGTTGGTATCCCTTTTGGGGAACTCACCCTCAACTCCTGTACTGGTAATTCCACAAAAAGTGAAGGGAAATCTCCCCAATGGGGCCAAAAAATCTCAAGTCAGTAATTCTTATTGCACTGTCTTCAGTTACCAAAGAAAAGAAATGTGGTGAATGCTCAGTCAATGGTTGTACCATCATGTATACATTGATAGAGAGAGCCAGAGATGAGTGTAGACAGCAGGACCTTCCATCGTAGCAGCTGTGAGTACTCTGATTAGACCCTTTACCAGTGTCTGTGTCCCCACCAATCAGAAAGTGAATGGAAATCCACTAGTTAGAGACACAGAAAGCAGTAAAACCATATACCAGTCCTACTCCTCCATCCTACTATAAAGTGTTTTTATTGCCAGTTGTGTTCCTGTTGAGAAAACTCACCCTCACCACCTGTCCTTGTGAGCACAGAAAATTGACAGGAAATCTCCCCAATGGGGCCACCAAATGTCAAGTCAACAATCTTTATCACACTGTCTCCAGTTGCCAAAGAAACATGGTGAGTGCTCAGCCAACGGTGGCGCCATCACATATTCAGAGCTAGAGAAAGCCAGCAAGAAAATCAACTATCCATTGCTAGAGGCAGTCAGCAGGATTAGGACAGCAGTCCTAATTCTTATTCATCCTACTAAAAAGAGTGTTTTTATTGCCTACTGTGTCCCTTTTGGGAAAATTCCAGCTAACCTACTGTCCTGGTGACGACACAAAATGTCAGGGGAAATCTGTTCAATATGGGCACAGGCAGCAACCAAACCTCAAGTCGACAATCCATACCACATTGCCTCCAGTTGCCAAAGACATGTGGCAGGCACTAAGCCATAGGCCGCACCAATACATACCTGTTGCAAAGGCAGGACCATCAAATATCCATTGTAAGAGAGTGCCAGCAGGAAAAGAACAGCAGTCCTAATCTACGTATCTCCATCCTTTTAAAAAGTGTACACAAAGAGGGAAGGGAAATCTCCCCAGAGACAGCAACCAAATCTCAAATCAACAATCCATACCCCATTGCCTCCAATTGCCAAAGAAATGTGCCAGGTACTCAGCCAACAGTAGACCCATGACATATTCATTTCAGAGCCAACAGGACCATATCATCTATCCTTATAAAAAAAATGTGTTTTTATTGCCATCCATAGCCCTGTTGGGGAAATTCCCCCTCACCTCCTGTCCTGGTGATCACAAAAAAGCAAGTGTAACCCCTCCACCATGGGGGCACAGACAGCGATTAAACCTCAAGTCAACCATCTGTACTGAACTGTCTCCAGTCACCAAAGAAATGTGGTGGGTGCTAGGCCAATACATATCCATTGCAAAGCAGGGCCAGCAGGACCATCAAATATCTATTGCAATAGAAAGTCAGCAGGACCATCAAATATCCATTGTAAGAGAGAGATGGCAGGATTAGAACAACAGTACTAATCTATCTCCATCCTTCTAAAAATTTTACATAAAAAGGGAAGGTTAATCTCCCCAATGGGGCCGGAGACAGCAACCAAACCTCAAGTCAGCAATTCATACCCACTGTCTCTTGTCAACAAGGAAATGTGGTGGGTGCTTGGCCAGTGGTGGCACCATCAAATAGATGTTGCTAGAGAGATTCAATACACCATGTGCAATATAGCAAATTTTACTGAAGTCCCATACCAAACATCCAACATATAAAAAGCTAGAACTCCGATGTAAATTTGTATCAAGGTTTTATAGCCTTAAAGGACTTACAGATCTATACATGGTCAGGATTCCAACAGGTTTTGACCGTTTAGGTAGGCCATAAACCAGGGGTGTCAAACTCAATTTCATCGTGGGCCACATCAGCAGTATGGTTGCCTTCAAAGGGCCATTTGTATCTGAGGTACGGTGTGTGCAGAGTGCAGAGTTCAGGATTACGTTATGTACAGAGTGCAGGGTTTAGGGGTGCACTATGTACAGAGTGTAGGGTTCAGGTATGTGTTACATACAGAATGCAGAGTTCAGGATTATGCTATGTACAGAGTGTGGGGTTTCGAGGTGCACTATGTACAGAGTGAAGGGTTCAGGATTACACTATGTACAGAGTGTAGGGTTCAGGTATGTGTTACATACAGAATGCAGAGTTCAGGATTACGCTATGTACAGAGTGCAGGGTTTAGGGGTGCACTATGTACAGAGTATAGGGTTCAGGTATGTGTTACATACAGAATGCAGAGTTCAGGATTATGCTATGTACAGAGTGTGGGGTTTCGAGGTGCACTATGTACAGAGTGAAGGGTTCAGGATTATACAATGTACAGAGTGCAGGGTTTAGGGGTGCACTATATACAGAGTGTAGGGTTCAGGTATGTGTTACATACAGAATGCAGAGTTCAGGATTACCCTATGTACAGAGTGCAGGGTTTAGGGGTGCACTATGTACAGAGTGTAGGGTTCAGGTAAGCATTACATACAGAATGCAGAGTTCAGGATTACACTATGTACAGAGTGAAGGGTTCAGGATTACACTATGTACAGAGTGCAGGGTTTAGGGGTGCACTATATACAGAGTGTAGGGTTCAGGTATGTGTTACATACAGAATGCAGAGTTCAGGATTACCCTATGTACAGAGTGCAGGGTTTAGGGGTGCACTATATACAGAGTGTGGGGTTCAGGTAAGCATTACATACAGAATGCAGAGTTCAGGATTACACTATGTACAGAGTGTAGGGTTTAGAGGTGCACTATATACAGAGTGCAGGGTTCAGGTATGTGTTACATACAGATTGCAGAGTTCAGGGGTGTGCTGTGTACAGAGTACAGAGTTCAGTGGTGTGCTGTGTACAGAGTGCAGAGTTCAGGGGTGTGCTGTGTACAGAGTACAGGGTTTTGGGGTGTCCAACACCACCATCCAAAGCTTCCTCGCATTTCTCTCTCCTACTTGGCCTGGCTCTAGCACCTCCTTGTGGTGGCTCTACCTTGCCTTCCAGGGAGATCGCTCTCTAAATTCTGGAGATCTGTCCCCGCCATGCCCTGTCGTCGGTGCAAAGATCTGTTAGATCTGGGAGCTACTGAGTACAAAGCTATCCCTTGTAAACACAGAATGCTTCTGTGCTTACAAGTGACAGCGGGGAGAAGGGGGTGAGAGCCAGAGGTCGCAGAATGGAGTTCAAACCACGTTTCAGCTGCAAAACTGGGTGTGAGGGCCACATGACAAGGTGTGGCAGGCTGGATTCATCCCATGGTCCTTGTGTTTAACGCATGTGCCTTAAGGTATGACTAAGGCCCTAACAACTGGAACGTGCTACAAATCTATACATGGTCAGGATACTATGTCTTTTAAGATAATAAACTTTTGATATCCATCTACAGCAGTTCTGGCTTTTTGTATGTTGATATCTCTTTGTGAGTTAACGGGAGCCTTGCTGCAACACCATCGTTTTACAAACTGTTATAGGATGAGGAGGTTGAGCACACTTATGTTTTGTGGATCCTTACCAAAAATGGCCAATGTTTCAGAAGATGATAACAGAACAATAAAGTGCAAACATATAACACATACATGTATATACTGTACATATATATGGCCAACAATATTGGCACCCCTGCATTTCTGTCAGATAATGCACCACTTCGCCCAGAAAATTGTTGCAATTGCAAATGTTTCTGCATTCTCATGTTTATTTCTTTGCTTTGTATTGGTATGACACAAAAAAGTGAAGAAACAAAAAGCCAAATCTGACACATTCCACGCAAAACCCCAAAAATGGACTGGACAAAATTATTGGCACCTTCTCAGAATTGTAATAAATAATTACATTCCAAGTTTGTGATGCTTCTGGAATTTGTAATTAAACTCACCTGTATCAATTACCAGATCTTAATGTTCCTGTGTCCATGGTGTGCAACATTGTCAAGAAGTTTGGTTTAAATATTAACCGCGCTCTAATATCCACAAAAAAAGTGTAAATCAAAAAGTGCTATGTGCTTATAAATAAATTAAAATATGAAAATAAATAATATATCGTGACTGATTATATGAAATTATGACTTGTGAAAAATAATATCCCAATGTGCAAAGTGAATGTTCAGCTTAGATGAATACACTCCTTCAATGTGAAGATATGGTCTTTGCAGTAATGTTGGGAACCTGTGTGACTGCAGGACTGTGAGGGATACTCCCTCCTTTGATCCACTGCTTAGTCCTCTGCCTTTGTATTCCTCGTATGTTACATGCAATAAAAGGAATAAAAGATATGGTGCCTTATCCCAGGGGTATCCCCAGCTTTTATTGTGCTTCCATATTGCACTCACATTTAAAAAAATGCATATGCGCTTTGTATAAATACAATATCCCACAGCTTGCAGCCAGATCAAAATGAACGGTGTGTGTCCACACACCTTCAGTACTCGCCTTATCGTCGTTAGAATGCGCAATGACGTCACTGGCCCTCCCCAACGCGTTGCGCTACAGGGATTTCGTAGCTTCGTCCGGGGGATGATGTGTCCAATTTTTGATAAACGCACATCACATGAGAGTGGGCTTACTAACCAGCGATCTAGTACTTATACCTTCAAAATATACCTTGGTGGCTCGCAAGTTAATTTGATTGTCAAGAAGTTTCGCAGCGCAAGACACTGTAGCTAATCTCCCTGGACGTCGATGAAAGAGAAAAATTGATCATAGATTGCAATGAAGGATTGTTCAAATGGTGGACAAAGAACCTTGAGGAACTTCCAGATAAATTAAAGCTGACCTTCAGGCACAGTGCACACACACACGCGCACGCGCGCGCGCGCACGCACGCACACACACACACACACCATGGGACCCATCTATTCAAATATGTCTGCAATATCATACAGAAAAGAAAACAACCACACTACTGTTTGACAATTATGTAGTTGTATTAAGAAAATTCCTGGTACATGGGAAGTCCACCTTGGCTCTTACTGGCGCGTTTCGCTCGATACGAGATTAATCGTAGATCTATGGGGCGAAACACGTCAAAGAGAGAGCCCAGGTGGCCTGTCCATGTACCAGGAATTGACCTCTTCCCGTCTGGCCCATGTCGATAAACGGCCAAAAGGGAGCGCTGCCAATGCCGGTGGATGTTTCTAAATGTTCTCCTGCATCCATTGCCTGTGCATGCTCCCTGGCATTGGTGCCCCCACTGTGTCCAGAGGACACACACAGATCGCTGTACAGGACCTCTGTGCGAGGTCCCGATTCATGTGATTACTGATTGGCCAATCAGCGAACAAATGAACAATAGTAAACAAGGTGTCACTTCCTGACATCATTGCTTACTACGTGTGAAATCTGTGAATGATCACAGAGATCACATGGTACAAGGCTATTCACAACAGCCTTGTACCATGTGAAAAGCTGTGACCAATCACAGCTCACCCAGTATTTCTTAATGGCTGCAGGAATGCAGCCAGAGAGAAGGAGAAATGATTGCTTTTAAACCCATAAAGACTGTAAAAGCAATCAGTGGAAAAAAAGAAAAACAAAATCTTCATCACCCCCCACAAGTATTCCTAGGGTGACAGTATGTAAAAAAAAAACATAAATAATATTATAAAAAATAAATAAAAATGTAAAAACCGTTTTTGAAAAATTATAATTTTTGGTTATAAACTAATTTGGGTTATTTTTTTTTTTACTAAAAAGATAGATGAATACATTTTGGCCAAGATTTATGAAGACAGATTATTTATTTGCAAAATTTTATAAGAAAAACACTTGTTTTCAAAATGTGTGGTCATTTTCATTTATTTAGCAAAAAAATAAAAATGTCAGTGATGAATAAATACCACCAAAATAAAGTTTTATCTGTCTCAAAAAAATGGTAAAAAATTAATATGGGTACAGTGTTGCATGACCGCGCAATTGTCATTCAAAGTGTGATAGTGCTGAATGCTGAAAATTTACCTGGACTGGAAGCAGTGGTGTATTTAGGTTTTGTGCTGCCCTAGGCAACACAAAAATTGTCGCACTCTCTCCCCCCTGCAGAAAGAGCCTGACATTGACCAAGAACACCCCTGCCCTCCACCTGAGCCTTCCACTACCACTGTTCCCCATACACCAGCCACCATCCCCCAAAAGACACTCACCTTCACAGCTCCGGACAACCCCAGGAACGAGAGACAGGCTGTGCATACGCCGTCATGAAACCCACAGCATCTCTCAGAACCCATCAGGTCCCAATGCCGTGTGTGTCCCTTCTTCCAAGGGGCAGTGCTGCCCCCCCTGAAAAATGCCGCCCTAGGCAAATGCCTTGTTTGCCTTTTGGTAAATACATCCCTGACTGGAAGGGGGTGAAAGTGTCCGGACTTGAAGTGGTTAATATAATCACATGATTATAGAATAGGAGTGCAGCTCTTTTCTGTATATTGTAGCGTTGATGTGTTGAACAAAATACATTGAACACACTCAACCCTGGAGGAGCTGTGAGAAGGACTGGTGCTGCGGCTAAAGCTCCTGTTGACCACATATGACAAGTATAGCATGAAAGCTGGCACTCCACCGCAGGACTGTACCAATCACTTTAATATGGACAGGGTAATATATCAATGTAGCGCAATGAGTTTAAGAAAAAAAGAGGCAATGCCCAATCCAGGCAATGCCACAAACCTTGGCCTACCTTGGTGTCATCAAGAGACCTGCATGGACATACAAGTATTCATGAACTGGTTGTGTCTCTGCTTTTGACCTAGCGTGCTCTCCAGAGCCTCAAAGGGCCAACGCACACATGCTCCTGATGTAATTCCCCGGCTTTGAATCATAATGGTTAGCCAGCGGTCTTCATGGAGGCCAAACCAGCTAGAGGTTCTAACCCTTTTCCAATCCACTTAAGCTTGGTTCACACCTATTCTTTTTGCTTTTGATCCAGTTTTGTTCACCTTTTTTTTGGTTAACCACATGCTGCCCAGCCACTGTATAAATACGGTGGCAGGGCGGCACGGCTGGGCAAAATCACGTTTTAAAACGTGTGTTTTGTAAACAGGAAGGGGGCACCCGCGCGAGGCGCGCCGCCGCCCTAGCTGTCCCGCCGATCACAGCCGCGGATGTCAGTCGCCGGGTCACAGCTGGTCGTTACCGGCTATGTCCCGGCGATCGGCGGCAATCACTGACAGAGAGCACAGCTGCAGTAGCTGTGCTTTCTGTCAGTTCCCTGACAGCTCCAGGACAAGCTGATCGGGACAGAAGAGTTTCTCTCTCCCGATCAGCGGTGTCCCCTGCAGTACACACCCCCGCCCCCTAGTTCCTAGTAAAACACTCCCCCTCACACAGATAACCCTTTCCCTGAATAATAAACTTAACCCCTTCCTCCCCAGTGCCATTAGTACAGTGTCAGTGGGTTTTTTTTTTGCACTGATCACTGTATTGGTGTCACTGGGGATGTCAGTGACCCCAAGTCAGTACCCCCCAATGTCAGAATGTCTGCCGCAGTCCCGCCATAAGTCACTGATCGCCGCCATAAGTCACTGATCTCCTCCATTATTAGTATAAAAAAAAACTAAAAATCCCAGTATCTTTCCCGCCATTTGTAAACGCTAGAACTTTCACGTAAACCAATTAATTTACACGTATTGGGGTTTTTTTTTTTAGCAAAGACATGGAGCAGAATGCATTTTGGCAGAAATTTATGACTAAATTAAATTTTTT